CTCCAAGGCCGCCGATGGTGGATGAGCCAAGTCCAGCGGAGCTGATGGCGACTCGGACCTCCAACAAGATGAGCTTTCAGGGCTGCAGAGTCCACCTGTTCCACCCTGCCGCCCCCTGGCACCAGCACTTTATGTCATGAAAGGCTAAAAACACTTTACACAAACCAAGCAGAACCAAATCAAAGCAGGAAGAACAAAAATCAAGTCCTGGGCTGAAGGCAGGGGGGACGCCTTTGTCCTCTGAAATAAAAGCCCCTCTCCTTCAAAATAAAACTTCCTCCTGGGCTTGGAGAGAAAAGKTGCTGAAAGCATCAAATGTACACGTCTGCAGACACACAAATATTGCACACTGTAGTAAAAGAGTGTTGTGAGGCGATGAAAGCAACACAAGCGTGGTGGATCAGGACTGATGCAGGACTAAGTCTTAGTTTGTGTCTGAGCTTCATTTGGACAAAGCAGCAGCAGCAGCAGCAGCAGCTTCCTGCTCTGTGGCTTCAGACAGGAGAAAAGTCTCACATCAATAAGGATCCTTCACTTTCACTTCTTTTGTCAGCTTCTAATAAAAAACAACAAGCTGCTGTTGTGTTGCAGTCAGCTCTGCAGCTGTAGAGGCTTCAAAACGTTTCACGAGAGGAAAAACTGAAGAAACTCCAGGTGGAGCTCAGAATAAATCACTGAGGGTTTAAAACAATCAGTGAGGCAGGTAAGATGTTTACTATGTCACAATGACTTCTGCTCCTTTTACATTCGTTTACACTTTTTGTCTTTTCCATCCAGAGTTTTTAACCCTTTAATGTGCTGTTTGTCTTCTTTGGCTTCAACAGAAGTCAAACAWCAGAAGATGAAGTGAACCCTGTTTATCTGCAGAGTTAAACGCCTCAGAGACTATTTGATACTAATAACAGCAAATCTAGCAGCAACAACAACAATCTGCTGCACAGCTGTGAGAGGAGCTTTGAGAAATGTCTGATTCTTACATGGAGGTGTCTTAAAAGTAAAGCGGTGAGAACAAATCTGTTCTGTGCTGCTGCTGAGTTCAGCCGTCGCTCTCTGCTGACTAACAGAGCATCTAGGAAACAGCAGGTTGGACCGACTGAACGCTACGTATCTGCTTCACACACACACATTTACACTCTTTACATTCTCCAATAACACACTCCTTCCAGAATAAAATGACGACAAATGACAGAAAATAAATCTCTAAAACAATCAGGAACATGTCCATGGGCGCAGTATTATAGCTCACATACAAGAAGCAAATTACAAAACTGCAATTATCCTTTTCCACTTAATAATAGCCACAATAAAAAAAACAGCCACCGTTAATATGGGAGATAAAACATGCTTCCTTAAAAAGATTCAACAAACAAAAAAAGATTTCCTTCAACTCTAAAAACCACTGGCATCAAGAATTCTGAATTATACAAATTACATATACAAGTTCAAATGTGTAAC